GGGGGTCTCTGCGTGGATGAGGAGGTCCTGGGGGTGTGTGGATGGGAAGGTTCCCTGGGGTCTCTGCATGGATGGGGAGGTTCCCTGGGGGTCTCTGTGTGGATGGGGAGGTTCCCTGGGGGGTCTCTGCATGGATGGGGAGGTCCTGGGGGGGTGTGGATGGAAAGGTTCCCTGGGGGTCTGCATGGATCAGGAAGCTCCCTATGGGCTCTGTGTGGATGGAGAATTCTCCCAGGGGTCTGCGTGGATGGGGAGGCCTGCAGGGGAGTCCAGAGGAATCATGGGCTGACAATGCTCACTGCCCAGCAGTTTACAAACGTCAGGATGAACGAGCGTCTCCTCACCAACAATTCTAAACAGACATTTCTTAAGGGCCAATTACTTAAGCACAAAACAGGATGGTCTTTGCAGGAGACATCATGGTCTCTGAAAGCAGGACCCCGAGGTGGGAGCAGAGACTCTGGAGCCCCCTTACAAGCTACGTGCCCCGGGCTCTCTTACCCGAGAGAGGAGGACCCCTCTTACAAAGTTTCCTTACCTGTAAAATGGGGCGGTAACCACACACCATCACAGGACGTGTGGGCAGTGAGTGGCTAATTCACGTAAGCCACGCAGACCACTGGCCGGTACTAAGGGTCAGTTGTCAGTGACTGTGACAGTTCCCACCACCAAGACCGTGACCCGCACGTGCCCTCCCCAAACACTGGCACTCAGTCTCACCGGTCACTGCGCTGGCCCAGCTCAGGGGCAGAGTGTGACCTTTTGCCCTGAGGACACGGGGAGCAGCGATCTCGCTCAGCTGAGCGCGGGCCCCCGGCCACCCTCAAGCCCCCACAGGACCGCGGGGCCCACAGCTCGGCCTCAGCCTGTGGGGCCCCCCGAGGGCGACCTGCCGCACACCCGCACCTGGTGGAAGTCGGCGTCCCGCGTGGCCGCCAGCTCGAAGCCCTGTTGGCGGCTCTCATGCAGCAGCATGTGGGCCAGCAGCTGGTAGGCCGTGCGCACGTCGTTGCCGAAGAGCTGGCCCGTGTGCTGCGTGGCATTCCGCAGCGCCTTGGCCAGCCGCAGGGACCGGTCGCCGTCCATCTGCGTCTCGTTCCGGCTCAGCTTCTCGTTCTGGGAAGGGGGAGCACACGAGACGTTTGCACACCTACCGCAGCTGCTTTGCTCCTTCCTGTGATTCAGAAATCTGTTACTCTCTGGTAGAAACTCCCTTTTCAGGCAAGAACTTGAAAACCCCCAAACCAAACAGGAGCGTTGGCTGTTAACTCTGGCACCAAAAAGGAGGGACTGTCAGGCCAGAAAGCGCTGGAAAGAGACACCAAGGGAAGAGGCAGTGACAAAGGGTGAGGTCAGAGGCGGCGGACCAGAATATGGGGACCCCCGAGTTTCCAGATCCAGACGCAGGGCTGGTCCTGACAGGAAGAGCGGCTGCGCTCTGCCGCGGGCGCCCAGAACAGACGTGGGGTCCAGCGACGGTCCAGCCCCTGGCCAGCGGGATCCGGGGGCCCCCCAGCCCCCGAGCCCATCCCCGACCCCGTCCCTGAGCCGGCCCGCGCGCGTGCACACGGCTCCCTAAGGCGAGGGCCTACCATGGCTTTGAGCTCCAGGAAGGAGACGGTGGTGCAGTTGAAGAGCTCCGCGGGCAGCCAGCCCTTCTCCCCGCTGCAGTGTCGGACTGCGTTTCCTAGGGAACGGGGAACACGGAGGAAAACCTGGAATCCCAGCTGTTAATTATGCTCGTTGACCTGTATGTACCTGTACCTGTGTGTACCTGCACCCCGTGTGTCCGGCGGAGGTGTGAACCCGGCCAGCCCAGGGCCAGGCAGGTGCCACGGCCACAGGCTCTCTCCCTACACGCCTGGGGCCACGTCTGAAGCTGCCTGAGCCACCCGGCCACCGTGAGCAAACACGTGAGCAAGTCCACGAAAAGAGAAACCAGCTCCATCGCTTGCCGAATACCCACAACGTCCATGGGCCCTGCCCATCTGCCATGAATCCGACTCGCAGTCGTGTGCTTTGGTGGGGCGTCTCCCTGGGTCTCCGGACACAGCTACCACCCCCATTTTACAAAGAACCCAGCACTGGGAGCGGCGAAGCAGCCTGTCCACATCCTGACCAGCAGGCGTGTTTTAATGTTTGCATTATAGCCTTTCCGTGTTTTGTCATTTATTATCAAGGAACAAGGTTTTATTTTCCCCCAACACTTCGGCTAAAGAAACGCTGTCCGCGTAGAACATCCCCTGAGTCCCTGCAAGCCGCGTGCCTCGACTGAGTTCCTGCCTAGGATGGATGCCACAGGCCACGGGACTTACCCACGGATCCCCTGGGGCACGACACTGCCACCGGCTGCCCGAACTTGGTCTGCGGCCACCAGATGCCAGCCTCAAATGCTCTGGGACATCCACTGTAGATCACTGGGGTCACGGGGGGAAGGAAGGCTGCTCAGCCCGGCACGGCCAGGCCCACAGAGGTGCAGGGCTCTCCGCGTCCTCCGCCCCCACCAGGAACCGGACCCCTGCATCCTCCCCTCGTCAGACTTAGAACTGGGGAGGGGGCGACCCAGGCTCTGACCCGTGCCCTCCAGGAGGGCCACACCAACAGAAGGCCAAGCGCGCACTGTCAGACCACGAGGCTGCCGAACGCTCCCCAACCCCAGGAGTGCGCGGTGCACACGCAGACAGGGGCACGCATGCAGGAGCCCAGCAGTGTGTCCCTGCAACACGGCCCAAGGGATCGAGGGGCAGCGCAGACCTTCACAGCCGAGCGCGGTGACCTCAGCGAAAGGGTTGTCACAGCGGTTGCACTGACGACCGATGACGCCGGACTTGCAGACACACTGCCCAGTGTCCATGTCACAGGCCCGGCTGTGGGAGCCGTGCGGGAAGCAGTCACACGGCAGGCACGCGTCCTGATCCGGGGGCCTGTAGTAATTCTCCTGCAGAAGCCAGAAGCAGCGCGTGGGACTCCAGGCGCCGGCGGAGGCTCTTCTCCCGCGGGATGCCTCCCGGCTGCGTCAAGGCTGGGCTCCTGGCCTCCCCCCGCCGCCCTCCACCCACATTCCCCCGCGGGCGGCTCCTTGGGCGCCCACCGTGCCGGACGGCGCAGGTGCACTCTCCGGGAAAGCACCCCTTTGACTTCTTAGCTAATACTTGTCGGGGGTCACCTGCAAATCTGTCCTCAAAAGTACTGGATTCAAATGGAGACTTAAGTACATGGATGGCCCTTGCTGTGTTTTTTCACTGTCAGAAGTTAGAAGGCACCTGAAGGTCCACCACTGGGCAGGTCAGGGTGATGGTCAAGAGCATGGGCTTCAGATTGCCAAGTCCCGGGTTTGTGCCCATCTCTGGCCACACCGCCCTTGCCGGTGACTCAAGCGTCCCCTGCTGAAGAGTGGGATGGGCTGTGACTTGGGCAGAGCCACGGCCAGTGTCCAGCCCCCGTGTCAGGCAGGAACACGGAACTGTCCCCACGGGGGGACCCAACCACGTGTGTTGGAGTGTGTGGGCACTAACACGTTAGCGGTCACCCTGGGAGGGCGGATGGTCTCACTCTCACCTTTTAGGCACGCATCTGCATTTTCTGTAATTTCTGATGAGAAAAAACTGGAGGTACATTTTCCCCAAATCCCCTCCACGCCTCCCTCCCCCCCACCGCCCACAGATGTGCCGACCACCGTGTGGCTCCGTGGTTTGCCCGGTCCTGATCTGCTGTGGCCGGGGCAGTGTTTCATTTAAGCATTTCAGCAGACAACGTTCTGTTTCTGGAAGTGCTGGGCACACATGGGACGTTCCTGGTATTAACCTGCCGGGAGTGCGGAGGGTGCCCGTGACGGCGATCTCCATTCCGGGGCCAGCAAGCCCATGCCTCACAGCACATGCCCCTCATCCAGTGAGACAGATCCTTCTTCTGGGTTTCCAAGAACTGACAGCTCAACAGCCGTGCAGACACGATTCTGAAGGTCCGTGGCCTTTCCCAGGATGCCGCGGGGGACGGTTTCCCGTGGCCTGGCCCGGGAGCACGGCGGCCAGCCTGACGCGGGGAGGAGGTGACTCCATGCCGCACAGAACCACAGACGCCCCGTGTGGGGTGTGGGTGAAGAAAGTTCAGCCATCATCGAGAGCCAGTTTGACAAAAGCCCAGGAAAACGGAAGGTAGGACAGTGGTTGGTGCTGAGGATGAGCTAACCTCACAGAAATTGCCGTTTCCTGTTACCAGCTGGGTGTGGGGCTGAGGACCCAGCTCTCAGGGTCCAAACCAGTGTCCACATGAAGACCGGTCCGGAACACTCAGTGCCTTGGTGAGCAGCCACTTCTCTGGGCTCAGGACCTGCGTGTGTGTGCGTGCCTGTGTGTGCACGTGGATGTGTGTGTGCACACACGCAGGTGCGTGCGCACGTGGGCGACCATGAGGCCATCTCTCGGGGCGGCCACCTGAGGGGGTGGGGACGCGGCCGGCGTCTGCCCGCGAGCCAGGCTCACCTTACACTGACACTGCCCGTTGGTCTTGTTACAGTCGGGATCAAAGCCTTTGCTGACAGCACAGTGGCAAGGTCCGCACACGGGGTTCCCCCACCAGCCTTTGGGGCACGGAAGGTCAACCCTGTTGGGGAAACAGCAGAGGGAAGGTGTGCGTAACTGTCCTCAGGGCCAGAGGAAGATGTTGGAGGCCAGGAGCCTCACCTGGCCTGCTTCTGGGCCCCTCCCTCCCCCTGGGGTGGCCTCAGTTTCCCCCTTGCTGGTTCCCAACCTCACTCACCCAACCTTACTCACCCTTAGGATCCCAGACTCCAGGGGCCCCTTGTCTGGAAGGCTTTTACCACAAAACTTATTTCTAAAATGATTTATTTGCTCACATTTTCCTTCTACCTGGAAGACACAGGTGAGTGCCCCAACCTGGGCTTCCTAGTAGCGTGACCTCGCCGCGCCCCCTCCAGTGGGGATGGCACTGATCTGCGCTCACTCTGTCCGAGCGCCCACATGACAGCGCCTGGCTCACGGGGGAGCTCAGGGACAGGTGAGCCCACTGCTGGGCCAACCGCAGCCGCAGCCCCAACAGAGCCCACGGAGCCCACGGAGCCCGGCTGCCCTGGGTCACCTTCCTGCAGGGCCCAGGGGATCTGTCAACACAAGGTCCCCGGCGGGCGGTTCCTGAACACGGGGTTCTGGGGCATCCATGCTTTCCCGGGTGCCCTGAGGCAAACACTGTCCACGTCCCCCCAGACGCCCAGAGCTACCTTTCCACACACAATCATCTCCGTGCAGCCAGGGGCTGGGCCCGGGGGCTCAGGATCAGGACAGGGGCCCAGTCCTGCTCTCGAGAGCCCAGCAGGCCCCGAGATGTGGGACATCGGAGGTCCCGAGGTCAGGCTCGCCCCTCCCAGGCTCTGGCCACTGCCTGTCGCTGTCACCCCTTATCCACTCTCAACCTGATCACTCACCTGAGCGTCACCTGCAGACCACCTACCTGTGGGATGCACGCCCCCAACCAAATCCTTCAGGCACCTCAAAATGAAGTGCCATCCTGTGCTTACTGTCTCAGCTAATGCCATTCCATCCATCCACCCGCCTGGCCGGCAGTCAACCTCTCGTACTCACTTGCTCACCGGGCAAGCAATTATTATGTACTGGCCCTGGGTATAATTAATTAGATGGCAGCATGGGCATAAAAAGAACCACAGCAGACCGGCTGAGCCGGGGGCTCCAGTCAGACGTTCACGGATCTGCATGTACAGTGGGGGGGACCCCAGAGCTCTGGTGCACCCCTTCTCCCTATGGCCTCCTCAGCCCTCTGTGCCTGCAGGGCCAGCCCCTGGGGACACGTCCGCCTCCGGCTTCCGCCTGTTCCTCCCGCGTTCCACGCGGCAGCCGGGGCCCCGAGACCCGGCCTCCAGCCTGCCGTGTTTCTGCGGGGCTGCCTCGGCCTCCACAAGCCACGCTCCGTTCCCAGCTCGCAGGGCAGGTCCCTGCACCTCGGCGGCCGCCTGCTTCGTGCAGACGCAGACGCAACGTCGTGTGTTTCTGGAGTGGAAACATGCTCCGACGGGGTTAGTTTGAGATGCTCGGTGAGATTCTTATTCATTTCGTGACAAATTTGAGAAAAAACACTATGCCCGTGTTAGCCACAGTTCTATGTCTTTGCGTGAAATGACCAAGGGGAGAAGAGACGTCAGGGGAGACGTGGCGGCCGAACTCCGCAAGGGGGGTGCTCTTACTTGTTCTCGCAGTACTGGCCGTAGTGACTGGACCCACACTCACACGCGTAGCCCCGCGGGGACCCGGGCTTGTGCACACACGCCGAGACGTGCTCGCAGGGGTTCAGATGGCACACGTCCACACACTGCCTTCCAAAGTACCCTGTGGGGACAGGCCGGCATTATCGCCACCCCAGAACCTGCCTGCAGCACTCCACGTCCCCCCTCAGAGCCGGAGCCAGAGCCTCCAGGTTAAGACGTCTCGGGCCATCCGTGTCGTCCCCAGACTCCACTTCCCGTGCTCCGCCACCACGGAGGGACGGGGTGGAGATGCTCGGAGTCACGGGACACACCAGTGTTTGGTGGGTCGGACCTGGACACGCAGACACGAGGGCCTCCCTGTGTGTGACGGGCAGGAGTGGGAACCAGGTCGCAGGACACCTGTCCACATCCCAGCACAGCCTCCCACTGGGGAGGGCAGGAGGCGCGGGGGAGGGAGTCCCGGCCACCCCAGGTCACACGGTGGATGGGTACCAGCCACGCAGGATGGTGGCACCTCAAAATCCAGACGTGACTACTGGAAGTATAATGTTTGAAAGCGTGGATTTTTCACGAATTCTCTCCCTCAGCTCATCGTGTGCCCTGAGGATAAAGCCTAAAGTGTCCCCCCGTGTCCCGAGTGAGGACCAGACGTGGGAACGAACTTAGAGAAGAGAGGGCCCCTCTCCTTGGTTACAAAACAGGGCTCAGGCCTCCGCAGACCCTCAGCACTGATGGGGGTGCTCCAGCTTCGCCTTCCCGATGTATTCACAGCACCAAAGCACTGCCCTCTGCTGATGGGCTTCAGGACAAGGGGGTGCGGGCGCGGGGCTCCCACCTTTGTCACAGATGCAGGAGTAGCCGTCCCAGGCATCGTGGCAGCGGCTGTGCTGAGGGCAGGGGCTGGAGGTGCACGGGTCCTGCACGTCACAGCCGTCCTTCACCCTGACCTTGAGGGCGTCATTCATGTTCAGCGTGGCGATGTTGGTGGACGTCTCCCCCATTCTCACTCCCTGAGTTAAAAAGGGGGCAGCCGGATTCAGTCCAGCGTCTTGGGGTTGGAGGAATCTCAAAAGGTAGCCGGGGATTAAGAGAGCCCCAAATTCTCTCTGGTCCCCCAAAAGCAACAACGTCTCATTTATGTGCAGAGCTGGGACTGGCATGGGGAAGGGCAGGGTCACTTCTGCTGCCTTCAGGCATGTGCTCCAGGCACGCAGACCGGCTGCCCGGAACCAGGCAGTTCTTTTTTTTTTTTTTTTT